CGCCCCCCCCCCCAAGACGCGCGGTCTAAGCAAAAGTGTAATTTGCCTTGAGCCACCTCTGGAGGCAGAGAAAGATTGCGACTCGCAACTGTGGAGGAGCATTTACGGAGGCGCCGAGGCGCCCCTGGAAAAACAAACTATTCCGCAACCGCTTACTTAGCGTAATGGAAGAACCGGCCCTGTGGAAGAACCGGCCCTGTGCAGGATGTATGTTCATTCACTGGACTAAATTGAGCACAAATACCCAATATGCCCAAATGTGAATGCTAGTGGGGTTGGGGGAGGATTGATTTTGTAATTTGGGAGTTGTAATTGCTGGGATTTATAGTTCACCTATAATCAAAGAGCATTCTAAACTCCACCAGTGATGGATTTAAATCGAACTTGGCACACAGAACTCCCATGACCATTAGAAAACTCTGGAAGGGTTTGGTGGGTATTGACCTTGAGTTTGGGAGTTGTAGTTCACCTATATCCAGAGGAGTGCTGTGGATTCATGCAATGATGGATCTGGACCAAACTTGGCATGAATACTCAATATGCCCAAATGTGAACACTGGTGGAGTCTGGGGAAAATAGACCTTGACATTTGGGAGTTGTAGTTGTTGGGATTTATAGTTCACCTACAATCAAAGAGCCTTCTGAACTCCACCAACAATAAAATTGGCTCAAATTTCCTACATGGAATCCCCATGACCAACAGAAAATACTGTGTTTTCTGATGGTCTTTGGCGACCCCTTTGACACCCCCTCACGACCCCCTCAGGGGTCCCGACCCCCAGGTTGAGAAACACTGCTTTGGAGTCTCCCAAAAATAACTTCACTTCTGTGACATAGCTGAAATTGGAGGGAGGTGTATTTTGGAGAGGTCACTACTGAGTTTGGAAACAATTGGCTCGTTGTATTTTCAGGTTTTATTTATTTTGCATCAAAAGCATTACATAAAATCATTTATCTAAAACTGATAAAATAAAGGGATCACAAGCTGCAAGATAGTTTGAGACTAAAAAACGAGCGACAGCAACCGCATTGTCTGTATCTTTGAACAGTTCATGGTGGACAAGCATACAGATGCAGAGTTCATTCTGCTCCAGAATCACACAAGTTAGACACAAGGTCTTCTGGGCCAGAGTGAAGGTGGGAGGGGGGGGGGGGCAGGGGACAGTTCCACCTTGTATCCTGTGCTATTCTAATAATATATAATATAATATAATATAATATAATATAATATAATATAATATAACATAATATATATTGTATATACATATAATATTTATAATATTATAATATAATGCAATATAATAATAATATGATATTATAATTATATATTTATATTACATGTAATATTACTAATAGTATTACAGTATAATTGATATAGTACAAAATAGCAATATTTAAATGTAATGCAATATAAAATAATATGATATTATATGATATTATAATAATATAATATAATATTATAATGTAATGCAATATAAAAATAATAATGATATTATAATTATATATTTATATTACATGTAATATTCCTAATAATATTACAGGATAATTGATATAGTACAAAATAGCAATATTTAAAACTGATATTGTACTATGCTAATAATATATTGTATATATACCTTGTAAGCCGCTCTCAGTTCCCTTCGGGGTGAGAAGGGCAGCATATAAATGTCGTAAATAAATGAATAATGCCATTTTGCGAGGTTGTCTTTTGATCTGCCCACTCCACTTCTGAGTCTGTTCAGGGATTTCCAAGTTGCCCATTCTTGGTTTGCCCTTGGAGGAAGACCCTCGCGGGTGGGCATCCAGTTGGGATTTCCTTATTTTGCTGCCCAGAGGGATGCTCTTGCTGCTGCAACATTAAGAGGAGTGATGGTTCTCATGAAATTTTTTCTTGATTTGAGTCTACTGGGAGAAGGCTGATAGCCATATAGTGGGTGGCTTTCACAATGTTCAGCCTTATTTCTCTCACAGTTGGCAAGTTAACTTTGCAGATTTCTTCTTCCCGGTTTTGATTAATGCAAATCTCTTGATCCTCCGATGTGACTCTATGGTCAACTTCCATGAGAGGCTTACCATGAGAGATAACGCTTTTGATTATGCACTGGAGGTCGCATCTAGCCTTCACACTATACCTCTTTTGTGGACAGATCCGGGAGCTGAAAGCCCTGGGCTTTGGGGAGCGTGGCCCTGTGTTGCAGGCCCTCTACCAGAACAATGGTGACTTGTGGCAGGCATTGGTGCAGCTGCAGCGCCAGCTATTGGAGCCTTTCCATCAACGGTTATGGGAGGACGAAGACCCCCCAATAGACTTCCACCACCCAGACCGACAGGTGAGAGAGCGAGAAGCTTTCAAAAGGATCTGCCCCTCTTATCACTTCCTGGCTTTATTATATATCAGTCATATTTTTCCTTCAGTCATTTCCAGGCAGGGTGTTTGATTCTTGTTGAGTAATTTCAAAAAGGAAAAATAATTTTAAGATGTAAAACAGCAACAGCAGCAGTTTAGCAGATCAGAAGCTTCTTGAGCATAGCAGCAGAGCAAATGGGTTTCAGCAATACAGGATCAGAGTCAAGCTTTACAAAAGACTTCATTGAAAGAACTACATTTCTGTATAGGAAACTTAGGGCCTAGTTAACTAACTAACTATCTCTCTGGAGACACCTTGTCTTTCTCCATGCTCACAGGAGGAGAACAAGCTGAAATACTCAGGGGCTTGCTATATGACTAGATCAGGCATGGGCAAACTTTGTTAGGTGAGTGGGCTTATTAACAAAAGACTCTCCTCATAAATGTACAGCAGAGTAACTTATTAGCAGGAGCGTGACCCAGCACCAGTAGCCCAAAGTGATCAAAAGAACAAAAACACACAGACCAATGTTATCTCTTCCATTGCAAAATAATATGGTTGCACTATTTACAAGAACAAGGTTTCCATAACACAAATAAAGTTCAACCTTCACACTGGAGCTTCACACACGAGGCCTTCTCATACCGAGACTTACCTCACACAGAGGTTTCTCTCACAGACTATGGCCCACCTCACACTGTGGGGCCTTTCCACAGACTGAGACCTTTCTCCCACTGAGCTTTACCTCAGACTGATGACTACTAAGCTAAGCTTCCTTCTTTGCTTCCATGCTGGGCTTCTTTCTTACACAGATAAACAGCCTCGCCCTCACTGAGGCCTCCTCTCACACTGAAGTTACACAGGAGCTTCACATAATAGCTTTACACACAGCAGCCTTCACACTGGAGCTTTACACATGATGACCTTCAACCTGGGGCTTCTCTCGCCGAAGCTTCTCACACCAGGCCTTCTCATACTGAGGCCTACCTCACACTGAGGCCTTTTCACACACTGACACCTCTCTTACATTGAGGCAAACTATTACTGAGGCCTACCTAACACATTGAGGCCCTTCTGCCGCAGAAACTTCTCACAGACTGCGGGCACTAAGCTACAGGCAGGCACCTGCTTATATTCTGAGTCATTGCATCCATTTAACCTTTTCAATGCTACTGGCTGTTAGGAATGGTGGGAGTTGAAGTCCAGACCACCTGGAGGGCCAAGGTTTGCCCATGTGTGTGCTAGATACTTTGAGTAAACTGAGACATGTCCCTGAGAGGTGTCAGTCTAACAAACTGGAGACAGCAGGAGAGAAAGAGGGAGGGAGAGGCACACAAAGAGGGCAATGGCAGAAGGGCTTTCCTTACCAGCTCACTCATCTGCCTTTCCCCTTGTTGAGGACTATAAACTTGTGCAGGCTGTGGTTGAGTCCCAACAGTTCTCCCTTTTTTCCTCATCTCTTTGAGGAGGGCTTCAGCAAAAGATAGAATAATTGCATGGCCCATAGTCAGTCCTGTGAGTTTCACTAGTCAGTGGAGGACTAGAGCTTGGACCTCCTGCTCCAGCTGCTGCTAAACCAGTGGTTCTCAACCTGGGGTCCCCAGAAGTTTTTGGCCTTCAACTCCCAGAAATCCTGACAGCTAGTAAACTGGTTGGGATTTCTGGGAGTTGTAGGCCAAAAACATCTGGGGACCGCAGGTTGAGAACCACTGTGCTAAGCATTGCAGCCTCCTCTCTCCTTTCAGGCCCTCCTCCGACGCCTCCTGGCCACTTTCTCTCTACCTAGCTGGGGCCGGGCGGAGCTGGTGGTTTCGTTGATGCTGGAGCAGCCGGCCGATGGAGGTTGGGAGCTGGCGGACGTTGTGGATGCGGTCAAAGCCTCCCCCAACCGGGACTTCATCAAGCGCTTGCTTACCTGTGAGTGTGCGGTCTGCAGCCTCGCCCTTCCTCGCAATAAGGTGGGTACCCAATGCCAGCCCTTGGCCCCAAGTGGGGTTTCAGAACACATTAGAATTAGCCAAACGGCTTTCAAGGGCCTCGAAGTGCTTTTTGCAGTGGTTTGTTCAAAAGTCAACAGGAGGTACTGTTGCTTCTTTCCATTCCTTGACCCATAAGCTCAATTCAGCTGGTGTTTCTCTGAATTCTCTTGTCATATCACCATCACAGGCATGTTTGGTGAAGACGTGGGAGAAGAGCCTTCTTATTATTATTAAACTTAATTTCTGAGGAGATTCGACTATTTAAAAATCTTGGGGAGGTCTAATTTGGAGGGGGGTGGGCAAACCCTCCAAACTTGCTGCCTCCTTCTTAGGATCCATGTGGATAAGTTACTCCAATCTTTTATTTTGTTTGTTTGTTTACTTCATTGATACCTTCCCTTTCTCACCCCACAGGGGACTCAAGACAGCTCAACCCAAAATTCAATGCAGCATATGACCTTAACGATAAAAACATACCCCATATAACTATAGAACAGCTAAAACACATGAGCAAATAAAACACATAGAACAATGAAACAGATTAAAACATATCAAGTGCCTGATTCCATTAATTCATAATTCTTGTCCAGATTGGTGCGAAATCCATAATGTCTTATTCTCCAAATGCCTGCGTGCAGAGTCAAGTCTTTAGTTTTTTTTCCTGAAAGCCAGAAGGGATGGAGCCTGCCTGATGTCACTTGGGAGGAAGTTCCATAGCTGAGGGACCACTGAGAAGGCTCTGTCTCACATCCCCACCAATCACGCTTGTGAAGAGTGTGGGACCGAGAACAGGGCCTCCCCAGCAGATTTTAAAGCTCTTGTTGGCTGATTAGGGGATATATGTTTGGACAGGTAAATTGGACTAGAGCCATTTAGGGCTTTATTGGCCAAAGCCAGCACTTTGAATTAGGCCCGGTAGAAAACTGGCAGCCAGTGGAGCTGACACAACAGAGGAGTTGTATGCTCCCTGTACACAGCTCCAGTAAAGAATCTGGCTGCCGTCTGTTGGATTACTTGAATCTTCCAGGCTGTCTTCAAAGGCAGCCCTAGGTAGAGCGCATTGCAGTAGTCTATGCAAGATATAACAAGGGCATGGACTACCATGGCCAAGTCTGACTTCCCAAGGTTTTAATTGTGTAAATACTCCCTTGGCCACTGCCAAAACCTCAGGTTCCAGGCTCAGTGATGAGTCCAGGATCACTCCCAAGCTACAAACCTATCTCTTCAGGGGGTGTGTAACCCCATCTAACGCAGGTCGTAACCCTATGCCCTGTTTGGTCTTACGACTGACCAGGAGGAGCTCTGTCTTGTCTGGATTCAATTTCAATTTGTTTGTCCTCCTTCAGACCGACACTGCTGCCAAGCACCGATTCAGTACCTGAACAATCAATGGAAATACATACACCCTGCATATCAAATATTTCCAAATATATACATGCATCCTGGGGAAGCCCTGCTCTCGTCACCGCCAAGTATGTTTGGCGGAAACAAGAGACAGAGCCTTCTCAGTGGTGGCCCCTCGGCTATGGAATGCCCTCCCTATAGATATTGGATTGGTCACCTCCCTTTTAACATTCCGGAAAAAAGTCAAGATGTAGCTTTTTGAACAAGGGTTTGCAAATGCAGAGTAACAGACATAGGAAAATGGAATGACGACAATGAGACCGGACAACGTTTTTAACAAGGAGACACTATGAATTTATATTTTATTGATTTGCTTAGTTTTTATTATATGTTATGTTTTTAATTGTATTTATGATATTATGAACTTCCGGTTAAGATGGCGGCACGCTAACAGCAACTTTTCCATCGGGGTAAGACGAAACTCTTAATACGGCTATATTGCTACCATCTACTCCCCACTTTGTTCCCCCTACATCGAGTCCCTGGACAGCAACACCCCAGGACCCCATAAGGGCTGTCTGGTGAGATATCCAGGGAAATAGGAAGAGAGAAGAGAGGGGAGAAGAAGAAGAAGAAGGAGGCTGAGCTGAGGCCATTTTTCCACCATCTCGGCCGGAGCTCGGTTGAGCTCGCTCCCTCCTAATATCCTAATTTCGCCTGTTGAGTTATCAAGGAACTTACCTCAGTTGCTGCCAGTAGCGGCCATTGAGAAATTCTGGACACCCTGAAATAGGCCGCAGAGCCGACAGGCCAGAAGACAAAGAGGCTAACCCAGCTCAAGCAGCTGCAAGCCGCGTGGGTGCGACCGCTGCCTCGTAGTCGCCGGGCGGCTGTAGCCGGTGAGCTGTTGGGGTTTTCATCGGCCTTTTCATCGGCCTCTATTCACCTGCGGCGAAAGCGTTTTTCCCGGCGAGCTCTCCACGCGCCCAGCGGGCGCTGCCTTGTTCCCCCGCTCTGGGAGCGGCCTAGCTCCCTCGCGTTCTTGGGGCCTACTGACGCCTCCGCATCTCCATCGGCATTCCACCCGCCTCCGCGTATCCATCTTTGGCAGAGGCCTGGGAGGCGCCAGCGGACACTCCACGGCCTGCAGCTCCGACGGTTCGGCGCCCCCTGGGGTCCTTCAGGCCCAAGGGAGGCCTCGCTGCTTTTCCGCAGCGCCTGCTGCTTGGCGCTGGGGCTGGCGGTTCGCAGCGGTTCCCCCCACTCGTCGCAGCTGGGGCCTGGAGACCGAGGAAAGAACCGCCTTCGTGAGGCGAGCAGCCACCCAGGTTGGTGCGCCCTGCGCTTGGAAGACCCGAAGGCGCAGACATTATCCCTGTAGGACTTTGCTTGTGCTACCGCTTTCAGTTTCGGTTTCGGCTGATGGCCCTTTTGGCTGAGCTGCTCTGATCCATTGCTGTGTTGCTGCTTGGGAGAAATCTTCAGAAGCTCAGTTGCCGCTGCTTGAGACTCCAATCTTGTGTTGCTGCTATTGTGTTGCTGCATAAATAACATCTGACTTCCAGCTCTGAATGCTCTTAGCAACGGTGACGTGAATTGACCAACAATTGACCAACAGACATTGCCTCTTGCATGAGTATACCATCTGCTCATTTGCTCGTGATTAGTGCCACCACCCATTGGCTGGTCGGGAAGAGGCGGGAACCTGGCCAAGGGGATACCGGTTTGTCCTTCACGGATCCTCAGAAGCCGGTCCCCTAAATCTGAACTGACTACCCTTGATTGAGAAGTGGCCTAGTCCAAGTAGGCAAGAACTTTTCTCGAACTAGTTCCACTACTATGTCACTTTAGCCAGAGCACTCTAGATCTACCATAGCACTTTAGCCTAGAGCACCTTAGATCTACTATAGAACGTTCCAACTTGTTTCAGCTGGGTTCCAGCTGGGTCGCCGCGGGGCGGCATTGTGCCGCCATTTTGGATTCCATCCCGCCGGCCTCGATACGCTGCTGCCACCTAGAGGGCCAATTTGTTTTATCAAATCCTTAATTGATCTTCCCTAACGCTCTGGCCCTTGAAGAAATTCCATCTCCGACGGGCAACAGATAATAGAGCCAGTTTTTAAATTAACAGCTATCTGGCCATTATCTTTCGGTGGTTGCCCGGTACCCACCACCTCCCGGAAGACTGAGTCGGCCACCTGTGACCAAATTATCGCCACCTTTGCATCTCACTGATCCAATTTTGGACAAACTGTGGTGATCGTTGCTATTCCATCTGACCGTGCTGATTTTTGACTTGCGTTTTATCTTCTCCATCTAGCCGTGCTGGTCTTTGACTTGCAATCCATTTTTTGAGTGTATTGACCATCCTCGATAGTGTTGATCATTGTCTTAAATTGTGCTGATCATTCAAGTGTGTTGACCTCCTTTGATGGTGCTAACTATTTCTGATTGTGTGACCATCTTTTCAACTGTGCTGACTAACTTCGATGTGGTTGTGCAGAGTACTTTTTCAACTGTGTGATCTTAGCACTTTACTTATTAGCACCTTAAATTATTATTGTTGCACTTTTAACCATCTTTAGCACTTTAATCGAGTTGATACATCTAGTGTTGAATTAGGCCTCCATGACGCACTCTATTAAGCATTTTGGGGTTAATTGTCAAGCCACTGCACTTTAATTGCCATTCTATAGTGTATGTTGACACAAGCCCCCAAAACCCTGATTGTGTTTAACAGCTGTTATTTATGTCACTATCCACTTCCCGGTATTTGTTAATCTGGTTGCTAATTGCATATGTGGGTCAGAGGGAATGGAACAGCTCAGAGGGACCCGAACATAACATAATAGGAACGGGAAATGATTGGAAAGCAAAGCCATGGCAGATCGGAGCTGTAATAGGTCAAACAGCCTATAATGATCCTTGGGTTATTATTGTGGATATTGAATGCGTCATGGAGGAGGGAGAGGCTTCCGTTAACCGGGGAGCTCCCATAGAAGTCGTGGTGGGGAAGGGGAGATACGGGAAAGGGAGACCTTCAATTCGGCCTAGGGAACGTGGAACAACATTAATAACTCCAAATCGGTCTCCTGATATGGTAAGTTGGTGTAACCAGGTTGGCGGTCCCTCGGGATTGAAAGTGGTGCTGTTAAATGCCAGATCTGTCAATGGCAAAACAACTCCTGGATGAACGGGCAGATCTGGCGTGCATCACAGAGACCTGGCTGGACGAAGCGGGGGGTGTAAATTTGA